CGATGAAGAGGCCCGCACGTCAAAGCTTGGGAAGGATGAACTAGGAGACGTGATAGAAACAATTCTCCAGAAAGCAAGACGCCTAGAGGAATTCCTTAAAGGGACCGTCAACACCAAGACGGAGATTAATAAGGCGGGGAGTGACATCATAATCATGGCAATAAAACTGCAAAGGTTAAATAGATACAGATTCCGTACTAAAACGAGTGTCGTGATGTCTGATCAGGAAATATAAACCGAGATTGTGACTATGACAAGTGCGAAGGTCGAAGTGGACATGCCGCAGCTGGATGAATAGACAGCGAAAAAGCAGCAGCTGGAGGATGTGACGAGAATCCAGGGCTGTTTTCTAGCGAGTGAACGAGTTTACAGGAGACCCCATGCAAGCACCGTTGGAAGAGGACTTCGTGAGCATTACAACATGCGGGCTTGAAATGTCAAAAGGAATTGCGAGTCGCTTTAAGGAAAGATACGGGGGAGTAGAACCGCTACAAAGCCAGAAACAAGTTAAGGGAGGTGTACCCTTTATGGTAAGCTCGAAGATGGCATGGAGAAAAAGGAAAGGTATGTTTTCCACATGCTTGTGGAAGTAGTCTACAATTGTGCCTGTAAACTCAGAGACCTCGCATTAAAGTATGGTAGGGGAAAGTTGGCGATACCGTATGTTCCAACATATAACTGAGAACAAATGGAAAAACGGAGTATGTATTCCGTGATACAGAAATCTTGCTGTTTATATATAAACCAGTAGAAAAACGGTCCAGCAAAAGAGATCACCAAACCAAGGAGAAGTCAATGGATACCAAAATAAAACGGTATCAAAGGGACGCCGTAATTATCCAAGGTGAGGGCAAGTCATACGCGGAGCTTGTCAGGGGAATTAAAAGTGGCATATATCTCGATAAGGTGGATGTAGAGGTGTCCAAAATAAGACAAACAAAAAAGGGAAAACGTCCTCCTTGAAATCGAAAGAGGTAAGGCGGATGTACTGCGGTCGGCTATAAATAACAAGATAGGCGGTGTAAAGGCGATAACTACGACCAAAGAATCTATTCTCCAGATGGTGTCACTACAAAGGAAGAGATACAATAGGCAGTTTCAAAAGCTGTTAAAGGAGTTATTCGCAGCTGTATGGTCACATCATTACGCCCGGCATATGGAGGTATTCAAAATGCTACGGTATTTCTACATACCCACGCAGCAGAACAATTGTTAGAAGTGGGAAAGGTGAAAATTGGACTGGTGCAGTGTGTTCATTACGATTGAGGAAGCCCTGGGACAGATGCCGCAGATGGTGGGACATTGGTCATAGAGAGAGGGAATGTTCAGACCTAGATAGGTGTGCGCTGTGTTTGAAGTGCGCACAGCCTGGACACAAAGCCAGTGGGTGTATCGGTAAGCCATATTGCTCGTTATGCAAAAAGGAGGATCACCAGGTTGATCGTAAGGGATGTAGATATATCCCTCCGGCGGCGACCCAGGCCTAGCATTCAATGTCTTACAAATTAATGTAGACAGAGGAAGACAAGCTCATGACATTCTGGAAGCTAAGGCATACGACATCCGAGCCGATGTACTACTCGTCGCTGAACCGAGAATTTTGTAATAAGCTCTTCCCAAAACTGGTATACTGACCAACTTGTAAATGCAGCAATATCTATACATTGTCGCAACGTGTCGATACTAGCGCATGGATCCGGTGCAGGTTTTCTGTGGATATATGCAGGTCCAGTGGTGATATACAGCTGCTATTTCTCACCGAATAGAGAGATTTCGGATTTTGAAGGCGGTCTGGACGAACTTAAACGGGCGTTGACGTTTTCCACCAAGGAAGTCATTTTAGGCGGTGATTCCAACGCAAAGTCGCCGGAATATCAGGGTCCATACTTGACCTGACTATAACATCAGAAGACGGTTGCCCACATATACGCAATTGGAGGGTACTTGAGAATGAGAGTCTAAGTCTACACCGTTATATAACCTTCCAATATAGCGCGGAAACACATCCAACTCCTAGTACTGCAGAGAGAGGATGAAACTACTGGATGCGGATATTTTCGGTGCCTTTCTGGACGAGAGAATACTAACCAATGATGTCAAGAATGCTGAGGAGCTGCCAAGAGCTCTAACAGAAGCACACCTCTATGCCTAACAGGCGCCTCAATTCGAAAAGAAAGTCTGTCTACTGGTGAGAAATAGCAGCTCTCCGCAGGGACTGTGTCAGAGCACGGCGTGCCTATAGCAGGCACAGAGCCCCCGACTCTACGCGCGACCTTCTAGAGGATGCCTATAAAACAACGAGAAAGGTGCTACGCCAAGCCATTAAATCGTCGAAGAGAAGATGCTGGCAGAGCCTTCTCCTAGACATTAACGACAATGTATGGGGGAAAGGATACCAGATAGCAGTCTCCAGATTGAAGCTTACTTCTTCCAACATTGTGATCCCTCTACCAAGGAAGTTGGAATTTGTCGAGATCTTGTTTCCGATCATGGTTGCAGTAGCTTGGGAGAAGATGACACCTTGTGGAGTGACACCTTTCACCATTCACGAGCTTTTTACAGCTGCAGATAGACTGAACAACACGAGACCAGGGCCTGACAATATACCATCGGAGATAGTGAAGCTCGCGACAAGGCAATTTCCAGAAACTATGCTGAAGGTGATGAACAATGCTATCACGAGTGGCAGCTTCCCCGCAATTTGGAAACCTGCGGAACTGATCTTGTTACCGAAGAGGCATAAACCTCTAATGGTTGCAGCGGATTTCCATCCAATTGCATTATTAAACGCAGCTGGAAAGCTACTAGAATATATGATCCTCGAACGCCTACTAGAAGAAGTAAATGAATCAATATCGGCAAGACAGTATGGTTTCAGACGGGGTAAATCAACCCTTGATGCTATCAACCACGTGATAAGCATTGCAAAGAGCGCAGAAGTAGTAATCAACCACAAATTACAATTATGCGCCATGATCACCATAGACATAAGAAATACTTTTAACGCTGCAACACGTCAAGGGATTGTCGATGCCCTGGTGAGAAGAAGGGTTAGTGGAGATACCCTCCAGCTAAATGTCGATTACTTGCGGAATCGAAAGGTTATGCTTCGTCATCCGGACAATGGTATTGCTGAGAAACCAGTATACGTCGGCGTTCCGCAGGAATCAATTTTGAGACTTACCCTATGGAATCTGCTGTACGATGGAGTTCTGCGGTTACAAATGCCAGATGGGATTTCCACAGTAGCATATGTGGACGATTTGGCTATAGTGGTGGTAGCAAGGACCGACGAGGAACTGATGAACAAAGCAAACTGCGCTATTGAAGAGATAATTGGCTGGCTGGCAGACCACGCGTTGCAAATTGCACAAGAGAAAACGGAGACAGTTATGCTGACACCCAAGAGAAAGATGTCTGCGATTACCTTTAAGGTGCAGGATCTTGTGGTAAGACCGGCCAAATCTTTGAAGTACCTAGAAGTCTGGATGGATACCAAGCTTACTTTTGCAGACCATATAGACAAAAAGGTTCAAAAGGCGTCCAAAACTGTAACGTTGGAAAAACTTATGCCAAATTGTAGGGGTCCTAGGGCCAGCAAAAGGAACAACCACCAGACTCCATGGCCTGCATCCTCTAATGTGATTTGAACAGGTCCAAGTTGGCTCAAAATGTGCTTCAACAAACGACGCAGCAATACGGGGTCATAATTTCTGAGCAGTACAAAAATGAAAAATACTCCTACTGGTACACGGACAAACGCGGAACTGCTGCAATTTGAGTTAGGAACCACTCCAGCTTCCCAGTATCCGACTATGGCTCTGAAAACGGAATCGTATGGTTAAAGACTAGAACGAGAACCTACGTATGCATCTACTTGTCTCCGAACGGCAAAGTTGATATATTTCGGGCGAAGTTGGATAAATTGGAAGAGACTTTGCAAAACTTGGGCAACGTGGTCTTAGCTGGCGATTTCAACGCAAAATCGACCGCATGGGGCATGGATTGGACCTGTTTGAGAGGGGCAGCGATCATTGATCTAGCAGCTAGACTCGACCTAACTATTTTGAACACTGACAATACAACCACCTTCAGAAGAAGTGGTCAGAAAGGGGCAATCATTGATATCTCTCTAGTATCTTCTTCAGTAGCGCGCGCGGTGACAGAATGTGCAGTTCTGGACGATTACTATGGAAGCGACCACCAATACATTAGATTCAGGATCCAGCTAGATGGTGGAAAACAGGACAAACCTACGCGAACTAGTCTTGGGGGATGGAATATTTCCCGTTTGAACAAAGATATCCTGGGCAGACGTCTTACCAACATTAAAGTCATTGCTACTCAAAATGGAGAAATATCTACGCAGAATGCAGAAGCCTTGGTGGAGACCACAGTGCAGCAGATCATTAACTGTTGCGACGCCGCCATGCTTAGGAGATCTGCGAAATGTTACAGGAGACAAGTTTATTGATGGAATGACTAGACAACATTCTGCAGCTACGTCGCATTGCACAGAGGGCTAGGAGAAGGGACCAATGAGATATAGCCACGGAGCAGCAGTCCAAGGAAGCTAAAAGGCAATTGAGAGTGGCGATTCGTTCCAGTAAGGAGGCAAGCTGGAAAAGCCTCTGTAATGACGTAGACCAGGACGTATGGGGACTAGGCTACAAGATAGTGATGCGTCGTCTTGGACACCAAAGACCTGTTGGCCCATTTGAACTGGAAAGGAGTAGATTGATGAGGCCGGAAGCAAATCCTCCCGCGGGGGAGGGTGAAGGGGTGGTTTGTGTGGTGGGGTAAGGGGCGGGGTGTGTTTAAATTCCGAGTCCTCCCAATGACCATCCTCATAGCATCAAAGGTTGTTTAATAGAAATGAGTCGACGGATAATGTCCCCCCTCCCCACCTCCCTCCTCCCACTACTATAACTCATCGACCGGGCGAACGAGCAGCAGCGCTCTTTCCCCACTTCAATGTCGTCATCCCTACACCTAAATCCGATGATATGACCATTCTTTGCCCTCTCAATCGTCATGTGCGGTAGGGTAAGGGGCGGGGGGTGTCTAAATTCCGACTCCTCTCAATAACAATCCTGTTAGTATCGAAATCGTGTTGTTCGACAAATTTGTATCTATTTATTTATTTATACTCTACCCAACAGCTACAAAGCCAATTACAGAGTAGGACAAAGTCCAAATATCAAAAATACACAATATCTTACATATTATACACAAATGTAGGAAGTTCAATCACAAATATTTACAAAAATGGCAGTGTAGATAAAAAATTAAATAGCAAATAGCAGACAAGACATCATAAGGAACCACGCAGCAGACAAGACATCAGAGAAATATATCTAATTGATCCGCAATGTCATTCGCTTTACCACATGAGGTATACAATGGAGAAAACTTTAAAATATTTGTTCTAGGGGTAGGCAAATAGAAGGTATTGCATTGTCTAGCATTCAAACGCGGGACAAGGAAATTAAAATCATGCAATATATTGCAACAATCAATACCATTGTGCAATATATCAGTCACGAACTTAACACTGCACTTATCACGCCTCTCCCTAAGCCTTTGAAAATCGAAAGCTTCTTCTAAAGACTCTTGTGGATAGCCAATCAGTGGGTAGATGCCATTTTCCTTAAATTAAAGGTACTTCAAAAAACGGCGTTGGATATTTTCGAGTTTGTCTATCCAGAAGTAGTAGGAGGGCTGCCAAATAATTGCCGCATATTCAAGCTTCGATCTTACAAGTGAGTTATATAGAAGCTTAATTGCTTTAATATCCTACAACTCGCAACCACAGCGTATGATGAAGCCCAGCTTTTTTTAACTCTCTGCAATAATTGAATCCATATGACCATTGAAGCAATATTTACTGTGGAAAATGACACCTAAATCCTTTATTTCATGCAATCGATTAAGGGGCACACCACCAATATCATAGCCAAATATGATCGACTGTGTCTTGTTCGAATAACTGACCACATTGCACTTCTCAGCATTCAATGGCAAACTATTTTCCTGACTCCAGCAGTTGAACATTTTTACGTTGTGCTGTAACTGTTCACAGTCAGTTAGAGATTGAGTGGGACAGAAAAGCTTCAGGTCATCCACATATAAAAGAAAAGTGACATCCAATTGTAATTCAATGTCATTTATAAAAATAATGAAAAATAAAGGTCCCAGAACAGACCCCTGGGGAACACCTGATGCAATTTTATATGTGTTAGATTTAAAGCCATTGTGCGAAACAAAAGATACTCTATTGTACAAATAAGATTTAACAAGCAGGAGAAGATGGCCAGTGACACCAAAGTCAGCTAAATTGTCAAGAAGAATGCCGTGATCTACTCGGTCAAAGGTCTTTGAGAAATCAGTATAAATGACGTCCACTTGAGTAGGAGAATCTATATTTCCAGATATATACTGAGCAGTGCAGAATAAGTTTGCCACAGTTGATCTTTTTTTCATGAAGCCATGCTGTTGAGTTGATAAAGTATTATGTACATGCCAGTAAACTGCATCATATATAAGAAACTCAAAAACCTTTGAAAAGTTGTTAATTATCGTGATTTGTCTATAATTCTCAATATCGCTCTTGTTACCCTTATTGTTAAAAACAGGACAAACTTTTGACACTTTCCATGATGATGGATATTTACCATTTGCAGCGATAAGTTGAATATCGTTGCTAAAGGCTTCGCTAATACAGATGCACAGTCTTTCAATATAAAAGCCGGAATGCTATCTGGACCAGAAGTTAATTTAGGCTTTAGTCTTCTCAATGCATCATCACCACATTCACATTAAATTCAGTCACTGTTAAAGGACTACTTCCAGTTGACTGAGTGGAGTTGGTTTTGCCACTTGAGCTAGCAATAAAAGATTTACTGAAAAAGTCAGCAAAGCTGTTTAGAATATCTTGAGGTTCACTTATATCCAAACCGTTATAAGTCATATTCTTAGGTATAGAGCCATGACCTCTTCTGCTGTTGACAAATGACCAAAACATTGACGGGTCTCGCTTTATATCATCTTCAGCTTTTTTACATAGTCTTTATAAGCAATATCGATATCCTTTTTAATTTTGAGTCTCAAAGCTTTGTAATCATGCAAGGTCATTTCATCAGAATTTAACTTTAACCTCCTAAACAATATCTCCTTAGTTCTGATATCCTTTATTATGGTACCATTAAGCCAAGGAGGGAATTGTCTACGATATCTGGTGGTGGAGTACTTTGGGACACAAAAAGAAAAAATTACATTCAATTCAGCATAAAATTGTTCACACGCTTCCTCAACATCATGAATGCTATCGAGAAAGTTCCAATTGGTGCGGAATAGTTGATCATACAATAAAGAGATATTAGATTTTCTGAAGTTGAAAGAATTAGGCACCATTCTGTCAAATTAAATTTCTTGCTTGGGAAGCAATTCATTAATGGAAACAACTACCGCCGGGTGATGCTGATCCTCCATCAGTATGGGATCGCTGCATTTATCAACACTACACATGAAATTGCATGAAATAATATCTAAAAGTCTCATGTTAGAATTGAAAACGTAATTATATTGCTCAAGAGAATAAAAGATGCAAAAGTTAAGCAAACTACTAATGACGCATAACTAGAAATATTAAAATCACCCAGAATCAAAATATTGGCATCATGCAAGGAATGAATTGCACAGATTAATTCAAAAACAGTTTCATATGTAGAAAGAGGTTCCGTAGGTGGGATATACAACACCAAAATGCATAAACTTGTTTTCCCAAATACAGTTTTTACTTCAAGAATATCCACATCAGGTAAGTTACATTGCACATCTAAACAGACTGAGAAAAATTTATCCGTGATTGCCAAAAGTACGCCACCTCCACGTGTTTTGTTGACAAGACAAAAATGTCTATCTTTTCTGTACACATTGTAGTTCTGGTTAAATAATTCAGAATTATCAACTGAAGAGTCCAACCAGGTCTCAGATAGGGCATAGCAATCAAAATCAGATGAACACGTGCCATTGTAGAAAGCAGAAGTTTTAGTTCTCAGGCCTCTTACATTTTGATAATAAATAGATAGCTCTGGAAGAAGTTGCGGGTTCCAAGGTGCAAGAACTTAGAGTCAGAGGCAATTGGTTGTTATTTTATACTTAACAGATCGGCTCGCAACTTGCTACAAGCTTGGAAGTAAGAGGAGCAATTTTTAGTATCCCAGGCAGCGTGATTAGTACAAACGTTAAGCTCACCTTTGCTTCATCGAAAACGCAGTTGATACACTTCAAAGTACCAGACTTGCAATCCTTGACAGCGTGGTTTTTTCCACATCTCGGGCACGAGCGCTCTTTCTTACATAATTTAAAGAATGATTAAATTCATTGCAGTTGAAACAACGAGATACTTGCACAGCATCAAAAATTCTACAGCAGTCTAAACCAATGAATACATTGCCTGCCTTCAGCATATTCACATATGAGGTTTTGTCTACTTAAACAACAGCCTGATATTTTGCATTATCGCGCTTGAAAGGAAGAATTTTTATTATTTTACTATCATTCGGATTACTAATAAGTACATCATTCATATTGAATAATTGATTGCGCAGGTGCTCAGCAGAATATTCCAAGGTCATACCAATAATACGAACCCTTGGATTGACACAACCAACATCTTTGACATCATAGGACCCAACCATTTTTTCTTGGACTAATTTCTTCAGTTTGAGATTGCCCTCAGCACTCTTACAGCCAATGAGGACGCCACCATCGTTGACGTGTTTTATCTTGGATATATGAATTTCATCAGCAACTAAATTCACGTTCTGTAGAATATCAGTCTTCGTTTTTGAAGTATCTTGTGATTCTTTAGGCTTAATTATGACAGCAGGAACCGTCTTATTCCTTAAGACACTGGCATATGAGATCGGCTTGTTAACACTTGAAGCATCAGGATTCTGCAGAATAGCTTGTTCAATAGTCGACTTAAGTTCATTAATCTGTACGACAATCGAATCCAAGGCATGACTAATTTTGCTTTCAACAAGTTGACCAAGATCTGTATCCTCTATAGAAACATCAGAAGAAAGACAGTCATTACACCTCCAAGACAGCCCAGGAATCTGTTTGATAAGTGTAGGTAAGTCCACCGTACCAGCATAAACACAAGAAACATGTACCACTTTTTTGCACGGTCCACCGCAAAAAATGGACGCTTGTTTCCGAGAAACAGCTGTTTCACATATTAGGCAGATGAGAGTCATTCTAAATTCTAATAATTCAGCAGTTTACCTCACTGCAACCAGCTAACAATACCTCGGCTACAACTTCATGCCACACTGCAACGGCTGACGTGACTTTGATCGATAAAGACACCCAAAAAATACAAAGAACTCGCACTTTTCACAGAGACGATGTGTGATACGTTAAACCTTGCTTGCCTCTCTAGAGTTGAACTATACATGTATCGTATAAATAGCTCGATGGAAGGCATTTCCGCCCTCTCAATGACCATTCTAATTGTAAAACCTCTTGACGCTTCGGTCCCCGATCAATAACCTATTGTATAGTAGAAGAGAATCGACTCTCAATGGCCATGCTAATTCTAAAACCTATTATCGGTTCGGTATAATAGAAATGTTGACAGTATATTTTTTTGTATACTACCTGAACTCTTGTATGCACCTGTGCAGTAACGTAATCTAAGTCTGCTCAGGAAAATAGCTCGATGGAACCCATGGTGATAGTTTACTCGTTGTTCTAATTGCCCAAGCATCCGATGATGTAGAACCAAGAGATGGAAGCTCATAGAGATCCCAAGATTGAAATGCTACCTTGATCCTTGAGCTCACATGTTTATTCAACCTTTCCAGAAGCTTGACTTTGTAACGTTCTTCCGGAACGATGTGTTGAACCTTCCATTCAATCTTGGATATAGCCAATTCAGCATCACATTCACCCACATAACAGTTTTTGAAGGATCTTGCAATAACCTTGTTCATGTTTTATATTTAGAACCCCTTTTTTTGTAGTCTTCTGCGAATCCCATTATATGTTTTAGGGGTATCCTACCACTAAAAACTTTGCTTTTGACATCCCATATAGCTGAGTTCTCGGCACTTAAGGTCTAACCACTACATAAAAGTGTATGCATAGCAGTTTTACTATGTCACACCATCGTTTTTATAGTTGAAGTTATCCCTGAATTCCGAACATAAACTTTTTCGCCACCCATCTGTAGGGAAATTTCTGCGTCGCAGTTCTAATTTGACTATAATTTTTTCACCACGGAAATTGACCAAATTCCCGACGTCATCCCAAATTTCCAGTGTGATGTTATCAATAAACTGGCGTCCACGCGGTTTGACGCTCATATATATTACATTCTGAGGCTCGTTTGTTAATTTAAATCCCGGTTCAACGTCTATATCAAACTCATACAAAGTGTGCATTTCATTGCCAATGCAATAAGCTCCTGATATTAATCCACAGTCGACTCTTATTATCCTGATGGGAGTTATGTTTACAGGTAAATTCGATGTATAGATTTTGTTTCTGCGAAAAATGTTGTTCTTAAATCCAAGCATAGTTGCCATGGAATCGGACAGAGCAATATCGAATACAGAATGGAGTTCACACTTCAAAATGTTAGCGTTGGCTTTCAAAGAGAACATTTCATCAACTTTGCTTTCATATCTCTCTTTATACATATGTATCATTCATTGATATTTTATTTCATGTTGTATTTATTTATTGATATCTTCGATTTCATAAACACCTTCAGGAATAGTTACCACATTACTCTCGTCACCCTTGTGAGTAAGAGATATTTTATTATGTTGATCATCAATATTGTATATGGTCCGCACTTATATCCAACTCGATTGGTAGATAAAAATTAGCAGACAGTTTGCTAGTGTAACCCGTTAGAGTAAATGTGTTAGACATGACTGAAGAGTTGATGAATGAAAACATGGTCTTATATAGGTAAAAAAATATTTATTGGTTACCACAGTTGTTTGGTTCAGATGTATTTTTAACATTGATATCTTCCATGGTGTTCCCAGCAGAATTGGAATCGCTGTATATCAGCGTCCTCCTTCAAATGCTCCGGCAGTTTGTTCCATACATGTGCTGTTTCATTTGGCGTGCAGCATATGAGTACCTCTTTCGGTATGTGTGCAGGTTCATCTCGCGTCATATTCAACAGGCTTCTCTCCTTTGAAAAGTCTTTAAGAGAGTCTCTAATCTTTTTCGATCGTTCGTGATCATTGTCTTTAGCGCTCTAATGTTTCTTCAGATAGAAATCGCAGACACAAATGACCACACCAAAACGTATTGAACTGTTATTGTCGATTATAATTGCACAAGATTTTTACCTTTTTCGACTTGTTGCTCAAATATTTGATTAGCTCCTTGGGCGGGGGTGGATTGCCGAAACTATCATAGTACCATACAACCATTCCACGTTTTATATATGAAACGCAATGTGACCCATCCCCACTCTTGTTATCTAAATTAATTATGACTGATCCATTCTTCAGCGGACCCTACTCGGACATTTCATCGCGCATAAATACTCCTTTGAAATATGGTATTTTTAGCTTCCTAGCATAATAGATTAGATCTATTTTTATTAGCGGTCGAGGGGGGAGGGTTTTCAATAGTTTTTTGAATTCTTTAACTTGATGAATAACCTCAATCCTTTACGGTATGGTTTTAGAAAGAGGCCATCCCCAATTCGATTCACATTAGAAGAAGGTGGTGAAGTGCTTTTATTTTAAATTTGCTCACGCACTGAACTAGCTGTTTTAGCAGCTCTTGTTATGTTGGCAATACCCCCAGCTAGACTACCTAATGCTGAAAGACCGGCAAAAATTGGTATCAAAGGAAGAATGCCTCCAACCTTGAGAATAGGTATAACTCGTGGAAGCTGAATCAGTCGTGTTCCACCGATGGATCTGACATGCTTCCGGGCAGCAAGTAATGCAGCGGAAGTCGCCTTTGTTAATAGTCTCTTGTCTGGTTTACAGTTTGAGAACCCTTTCATGTGTTTGCATACTTTATTCCCGATCCAAAATGTAACTTTTTCTGTGATATACTTGATTTTCTAGAGATAGCTTTTCTTCCTTTAGGTCCACCCGTAATGCATGTCCTCCCATACCTATACGATGTTTAACTTTCATAATACCCGATGTTCTACGGATGTATTTTCTTCTACTCCGTCCACGACAAGCGGCAGCTTTTCCTCCAAGTTTTGCGTCTGGAGATTTGACTCTTTTCCAAGCTTCTTGCTCAAGTTGATAATCAGCAACGTGTCTCGCAGTCAAATCAGATTTCTGATATGCAATATCATGCTGTAAGCATGCAGCGTCTAATTTATGGATGCCTTTCAGACCTAGGGCTAACCTTTTTTGAAGACGTGTCCCTGGACCGCAGAACTGGTAAGAAGGTAAGTGTACTTCGAATGGTAACTTATCTATCAGCGTATCCACAAAACCACCACGACCAGCTTTTGGAGTGCTTTGACACCCTCTAATGCGAAGTACTAGCATTTAAATAAATAGGACATACGCTGCTCTGTTTCGCGCAACTCTCGACTCCTCTGTCAACAGCTGGAGATGTTCTCGCTTGAGTCTTCTGTTCTCCCTGATGAGGTGCCTAATATGGTGCGGTGCTGGACCATTTAGGTGTCTAGGAACTGCCGTAGTCTCGGAGCGGGTGCTGTCCTCGTTGCGCTCGCAGGACAGCATTCTCCAGCTCCTCTACTGCGTTGTCCAGTTCCTCCGCTGATCGGATGGTTGGAATTTGAGTGATCTTCCTTTGGACGTTGGATTTGTACAGGTTCCAGTTCGTCCGTTTGGTGCTCAAGCTATCTCGAGTTCTAAACCCTGTGCCAAGTGTTAGTAGGATCGGATTGTGGTCCGACGATCCTTCCACCAGGGTCTCTATCTGGAACTCCTCTCTGATGTTGCGGAGGATGGCTATGTCCAGTACCGCAGGTCGCCCAAGGCCGAATGGAATATAGGTTGGTTGCTCCGGACCGACGATGACCCCCGCCAGGGCATCGACGTGTTCTTGGAGCTCCCTTGCATTCCTGTCTTCGACGTTGTTGTTCCATGCCGGAGACTTGCAGTTTAGATCTCCGATGACTATGCTTGCTCCTGGGCCTCTCAGGAGGTCAGCGATGTCATCTTCCTCTAGGGCCTCCCCTGGTGGCACATATAGGGGGGTGATTCTGTAGGGACGGTGGTTGTGATGGACCTGGACCGTGATTCCGTCCCCATTGATGTCTGCGGCATCGTCGAGGACATGACTCGTCAAGGTACGTTTGACGAGTAATGCGACTCCTCCACCTCTGCCTCTTCTGTCGTAGTGGTACGTCTCGTACCGCGGGAACGTCAGACTATGGGCAGCATCCAATTTCGTTTCTTGGATGGCCATCACCTCTGGTTGGTACTGGTCTAGTATCTCCTGGATTTCTGGTTTCCGTGCCCTGAATCCGTTTATGTTCCAGGAGATAATGCGTAGAGATTCTACGTTTTGCCCTGTAGTCATTTCGGGTCTAGTGCTTGTCTAACAGGTTATGATGGCTTGCATCATAGCTAGCAGTCTGTCATCGCTGTGTTGCTTCTGCGCAGTAGTTCCAGTAGCAGTGGCGGCTGCTGGGGCAGAAGTGGACATGGTTTTCTTCGCTTTTTCTGCGTAAGAGGTCCTATTGGAGGTGGAGACTGCTTTGGGGGCAGCAGCAGCTTTTCTCGGGGCCTTACTACATCCTTTGTAGTTTTCCGGGTGTCCTTCTCCGCAAAGGCAGCATTTGGCGTTTCGTTGCCCTGTTGGCGGCGTCGGTAGACTGCAGTTGGTGCTGCTGTGGTCCTCACCACACTTTACGCACCGTTCAGCGAGACGGCAGTTTCGCTGCGTGTGTCCGTACCGCTGGCAGCGGTAGCATTGGCTGGGCTCGGTGGACTTTTTCTTTCTCTCGAAGCTGACCGTGAGCATGGCCAGCCTCTGGATCTCTAGAAGCTTTTCCGACATCTTCGTCTTGACGAGGAAGAGCGGAAGTGGCTTCTTGGTGGTCCTTGAGGTCATCTGCTGAACCTCGGCGTCTGCGATACCTTGGCTCACTAGATCCTCTTTGATGTCATTGACTGACATCTCCCTGGGTAGTCCACGAATTACCCTCTGGTCCATCCTGTCCTCCTTCAGTTGATAGGTGAAGAAGGGCCGCTTGATGGAGTCCAGCAGTGCGAATAGCTGACGGTAGTCAGCTGGTGTGTTTGTGAACACCTTCACACTGTTACCCGCCGTCCTCGCCTTGGAGAATTGGATCCCCTTGTTGTTTATCATCCTGCCTAAGGATGACCAGTCAGCGGTGCCCTCGATATTGATTGGAGGAACTCCTGTTCCTGCCATAGGGGCCTCGGTGGTCCTGGTTGCTCTAGGATCTCTCTTCTTGGTGGCAGCTGGCATCTTTGGCTGCCTGGATGATTCCTCTTCTTCGGAGGAGGAGGAAACTCTCACTCGTTTTCTCCTCCTGGTGACGACACTGAAGTCTGCGTCATCGGTCCTCTTCTCGGCTTCT